ATTGAGTCAACCCCACAACTTCCCACAGTTGCCACAATCAAATATGAAAAGCATACGAACTCCAACGTTCGTAACTTTCTTATTCGTGCTCCGATTGAAGCGATACTTGGTTCGTCGGAAAGCTCTTGAGCACAGGAGTCACTTAAGATATCTGCTCAAGCCAAAAAACATTCACACACACTCAGAAAAACAAAATCGCACAAAACAAAAATTCTTACACACGCTCACACCATGCATGCAACGCACGAACATATGATGGGAGGCAGACAGACGTGAATGCAGATGATAGCATCACATAACAAACTCCCCCTATGGCTGCCTACCATCATCCCAAATGCCATACCTCAAGCATGCACCCTCAATGCACACTCATCCCTGCAAGCTTCATGCCCTTCCAATGCTCAGATTCAGCCAGGCGCTTGGTGAGAATGTCAGCCGCGTGCTGATGGGTCTTCACAATCTCCAGCTGCACCTCCTTGTCCAGGAGCCTCCTCACGCAGTGCCACTTAGGCCTGATGTGTTTGGTCAGCCCATGAAGACAAGCATTCTTCGCTAGCTTCACCGTCGACTCATTGTCACACAAAATGACAGTCGGCTTCCTCTAGCACACTCCGATCTCCTCCAACAAACACCTCAGCAACACCACCTCCTTTGCCCTATGATGCAGGGCCATGTACTCTGTCTCACATGAGGACTGCCCCACCTCGTTCTGCTTCTTGTTGCGCCAGCTCACTGCATCTCCTCCAAACACGCACACATAGCCTCCAATGCTGGTGCCATCCGCCTTTACAGAGTTGAAGCTAGCGTTGGTGTAGCAAGTCAGGAGCATCTCCCCCTTGCCCAAATCAGCTGCACCCCTCTGCGGCCTCTGTCGCACAGCACTGTACTCCAAGCCCACTAATGCCGTAGCGTTCACATAGTGGACCAACCTCTTGGCCGCTTCCAGCTGCTCTTGACTGGGGCGTGAAACCACACTAGCAAGCCTGGATGCAGCAAAGGCAATATCAGGCCGCGTGCGGTTAGCCGCATAGTTCGATGCCCCGACCATGGAATGAAACAGCTTCCTGTCACTCTCACCCACCACCTCCTCATCAGCACAGGTCTCTACAGTGAACCATGAAGGCAGTGGGGTGGCTGGCTTTCCTCCATCTTGCAGCCCATACTTCTCGGCCCGCCCCTCATAGTACTTCCTCTGGTGCAACCTCAACACTCCCTTGTCAAGGTCCCTCTCCACATGCATCCCCAGGTAGTACTTCACATCTCCCATCTTGGAACACTTGAACTGCATCTCTAGCATCTCCTCCGCACGCTCAATCATTGCCGACGACTTAGAGAAGAGCAGGATGTCGTCCACATACACCAAGAGCATGACAAACTGCTCCTTCTTTGGTAGCAGGAATAGGCTGTGGTCACACTCACTCTTCTTGAACCCCCCAGCCAGCAGTGTCTCCTCTAGCTTGTGGTACCATGCACGAAGAGCCTGCTTCAGGCCATAGATGGCCTTCTTCAGCCTGCACACCTTGCCGCTCCCATCATCCAAACCCTCAGGCTGTAACATGTACAGCTCCTCCAGAATGATCCCATTGAGGAAGGCGGTGGTGATGTCCATCTGCTTCACATGCCATCCACGGTTTTCTGCCATTGCTAGTGACACTTTCAATGTTGTGCCTTTCCCCACAGGAGCAAAGTTCTCGTCAAAATCCTTCCCCTTTGTGCGGAGATAACTACTACAACGGGAGCTAGACTACTTGCTAGGCACGTGTGCTCGTGTGATCTCTGCGTTCGTTGGTCCTTAGACGTTTTCCTAGTGCTCACACTGCTTGCTAGTTCACGGGACAATTTGGCAAGAGTTTCACTAAGAAAAGATGACAACAATGGTTCAATGAAGTTGGCAATGCAAGACTACATCAGAGCCAGCATTCAGGTCAGTCGACTGCCAGCACAGCATGGTCGACCGCGTTCCAGCACGACTTGGTCGACCACGCTCCAGTAGTGCAAAGTCGACAGCGCTTTGCAGGTGCGTGCAGATGATTGGTGTGCAGAGTCTTGTCACCTGCCAGCACACACACCACGTCAGCCTCGGGCTGACAACTGCCTCTGATCAGCCACGACGACCTCGGGATACCACCACTGAGGTTGGTCTCGCCAACTTCGCCTGGGCGACCGTCGCATTCCTCCGCAGCACTTCGTTACCCAGGTAACCTGGTCGACCGGGCAACCTCATCGACCAGTAACTCCCGTACGTGCCCGTCGACCTCCCAAATCGACGACCACCTCCATGTCGACCTCACCAGGACGACCACGCCCCTCGGTCGACGACCACGCTACTCGACGCCCATCTGCTCGGCGTCCTGTGTCGAGGTCGACGTCGGCCCCTCCTTCGTCGACCACCGGGTCCAGTCGACCACCCGCAGGTCAACCAGCACATCAGCCGACCACCGATGTCGGCTTCCCCAAGTTGACGTCCTCCGCAGGTCGACTCCTAAGTCGACCTCCCCAAAGTTGGGGCCACCCAGAAGTCGGCGCCCGTGCAGTGGTCCCCGTGCAGGTCGACCTCCTCGTCGACCAGCTCGCCCACTGCTGCAGGTCGGCTGCTCCCCTAACACCCGACCACGATGTCGGCTCCGCCCAAGCGTGGACGGGGCCAACACACAACTCCCGTTGACACTTTGTCTGCTGAAACCCCTAAGCCACAAGCCTTGACTTGTAGCGGGTCAGCTTCCCTTCTGGTCCGTACTTATGTCTAAAGATCAGCTTGGAAGAAATGGCCTTCTTCTCAGGTGGCAGCTCACAGAGCTCCCACATCTCTTTCTCCAGCAGAGAGTCATACTCCTCCTTCACACTCTGCTTCCGTTTTTCAGCATCTGGCCCACTCAATGCCTCAGCTAACGTCTTGGGCTCAGGGACGGCTGCCCAGTATTAGTGTGCTATCTCCTCCTCGTCACACTGCTCAGCCACACTCCCAGCCCTTACCACCTTTGGCTTGCCAAAGCTCGGATTGGTCAGCCGGTTAGGAGGGCGCACATCCCTCCTAGGACGGTCAGACGGGTGTGCGGCACCTTGTGGAGCACCTTGCTGCTGCTGCTGCTGCTCCTCCACCTCAGGTTCTCCCCCATCCTCAGTCACCCCAAAAATTTTCTCTGAGACAGTGACCTGCACTTGCCTCGAAGGCCACCGCACCTCATCGGCCTGAATGATCAGCAGTGTAGTAGGGAGCCTCTACTACTCCTGCTTACACTCCTTATAGTACAAAGACTCAAGGAACTTCACATCCCTTGACACAGTCAGCTGCTAGCTGGTCAAGTACCAAATTAGCCAGCCCTTGTGATCCTTAGCAAGCCCCAAGTGCACACCCTATCTCCCAGAAGCTTCCAGTTTTCCCCTCTTCTCCTTATGCCCATGAAACACCACCATGCACCCAAAGGCTCTCAGCATGTTCACAGCTGGTGCACTCCCATAGCACTTGGTGTAGGGGACCCATTGCTTGTCCCCCACAATCGCTAGCACCCTGTTCTTCACAAGCGCGACCTGCAGCATTGCAGTCACCAAAAACGGATCCGACAGCCCTGCACGCCCAAGGAGAGTGCGAGCACCTTCCTGGAGGATCCGGTTGAACCGCTCAGCCACGCCGTTCTGCTGATGGTTGTAGGGCACCGTGAGCTGATGCTAGATCCGCTTCTTCTTCAGCACCGCCTCAAAATCAGAGCCAATGAATTCTCCCCCATTGTCGGTGCGGATCACCTTCACCTTGTGTCCTCTCTCCCTTTGAGCTCTCGGCATCCACTCCTTGAGAACAGCCGCTGCCACCTCCTCCTTAGTATTCAGAGGGTAGATCCACACCGCACGTGTGTGGTCGTCCACAATGGTCTCGAAATAGTGGCTGCCCGAGAGAGAAGGGGCCCTCGTGGGGCCCACCACGTCCATGTGCACAAGTGCAAGTAGGGCCTTGGCTGGTCCTGTGCTGCTGCTGAAGGGAAACTTCGTGTACTTGGTCTCAAGGCATGTAGGGCAGCTCCCAATCTCCTTTGCTGCCCTCTTCACCTCCAGCCCCTTCAAGCACCCATCCTTCACTAACTTCTGCAGCATAGGGATGTTGATGTGACACAACCTCTCGTGCCACGTCTCCCAATCGGCCTCACCACTCCCAGATGAAGCCTTTGCCCATGCAGTTGTCGCATCCACACCAGCAAGCACCTCACAATGTGGCTGCTGTGGCTGTTGCACCTTCTTGACTACATCCACGGCCCCAGCAGGTGGTGCAGTCTCCTCTCCTCCCGCAGTTGCTTTAGCCGCTGCCGCTGCTTTAGCCGTTGCTGGTGGTTTCCCCTTCCAGGGGATGATGGGCAGCTGCCACATGTCCTTGATGCAGTTGCTCTTCTCCTCCAAGTTCCACAACAGCAACTTCCCAAGCTTTGCACGGCGGCTGATTGGGCCGAAAGTCACTTTGGCCTTGCTTTTCTGCAGCCGGCTCACGGAAAGAAGGTTAGCGGACAAACCTTCAACCAACAGCACATTCCCCAGCCCCACAAGCCCCCCATTGGCTCCCATGACCTTGGCATTCCCCACACCAATCACAGGGAGCAAAGCACCTGAAGCGGCAGCCACAAACTTTATCTTCCCAGGGGGCTTTACCTTGTCAAGCAAATCTGCCCGTGGGGTCATGTGACTTGTGCAACCTGAATCTATCACCCAGTGGGTTAGGGGGTGCATAACAACCTTCCCAACTGAACCCACATCACCCCTACTCCCTTGCACATCCTCAACCATGATGAACATCCCAGGGTCAGCTTTACCTTGTGCACCATCACCTTGTGCACCTGAACCTTGCACAGCGCCACCGCGTGCACGTTCATTAGGTTTTCCTACTTGTACCCACCTGTTTGCTAGTGCATTCATTCCTCATTTCGTCACACTCTCACATTTCCCATCGCTTGTCCGTAGCAAAATTCGTCACGGTAGACGTGACGGACGCTACGGTCGCGGCAGGAGAGTTGGCAATCATGGACCCGCTCCTTCTCGCCCCCGCCGACCCCGCTCACTTCCCACTACTGCAGCCCACCGCCCGCGCGATTTCCGCCGCTGCACCCTGTCGCCCGTCCCGCCGTGCTGCCGCCCATCACCAGAACCGTGCCGCCCGTTGCCAGGTCCCGGCCCGCCCTCCTGTCGACTTTGCAACTACTGTGAAGGGAGTGACGGGAGTGGCGAGAGTGGTGGGAGTGGTGGGAGTGGCGGGAGAAGCTGCTGCTATGCCACTGCACCAGCCAGACCGCTCGCTCCCCGCCGTCCCAAACCTACCGCCCCATACGCGCCCTGCCTCCCGCTCGTCGCCCGTCGCCCGTACGCACCTCGCCTCCCGCTCATCCCCTCATCGCGGCTGCTCGAGTGTACAGCGACGATCGCTGTGCGGGGGGAGAGGGAAAACGGAAGGGCGTGGCGGCGGATGGCCAGCAACGACCGCCAGCTGCCTGCGCCATCGACCATCGCCAGCGCCAGCCCATCTCTGCCCCTCACGGGCCCCACTCTTGCCACCCGCCGCTAGAACCCCGTCGTTAAAACGCCCCCCTCCTCTACCGTGCCTGCCTGCTGCCGTATCTGCGCGACTGTGGAAGGGGTGGGGGGGAGGCGGCGAAAATGGAGGTGGTGGCTTAGGGGGGAGGCTATGGGGGATGTGAGGGGATGGCAGAAGTTTCACGTGCTGCAACTACCACCACACCTCCTCTCCCTCTCTGTCGTTACTACCGCCTGCTGTGGGGGGGAGGTTGAGGGGGTGTAGGTGGTTGAATCCAACTGCAGTTTCAGCAGCCTCACCTCCTCTTCTCTCTCTCTCTCTCTCTCTCTCTCTCTCTCTCTCTCTCTCTCTCTCTCTCTCTCTCTCTCTCTCTCCCACTGCTGCTCCTGTAGGGGTGAGGTTCACGGGGTGTGGGTGGTGTGAGTTCAAATGGCAGCAACTTCCGCCTCCTCCTCATCTCATCCCCCCTCCCCGTGTCATCAATACTGCCCGTCGCCCGCACGTGTCGGCCCGTTCCTCCCGTGTTGCCCGCTACCGTCGCCCATACTGTGCAGCCTGTGTCGTTTCTCGTACGTTCACTGCCGTCTTGTGCCACCCGTACCTTTCTGTCCGCCCGTGCCTTCCATGTCTCCCGTTACGTTCGAGCTCGTTCCGCCTGTGCCCGTGCTCCCTGCGTTCCTGCCCTGTTCTGCCCTTGCTAGCCCGTTCTGCCCGTGCTGATTTGTTCTGCCCGTGCTGCCTCGTTCTGCTCGTGCTGCCCAGTTGTTCCCGTGCTGCCCCGTTCTCCCCGTGCTGCCCCGTTCTGCCTGTGTTGTCCCGTCCTGCCCGTGCTGCCCCGTTCTGCCCATGCTGCCCATTGATTCTGCCCTTGTTGTCGCCCGTGATTTTGCCCGTGATTTTGCTCGTGCTTCTGCCCGTGATTCTGCCTGTGATCCTGCCCATGTTGCTGCCCGTTCCCGAGCCATACTGCCCGTGCCCAGCCATGTCTCCCATTGCTGTCCGTGTTCTACCCGCGCCCAGTGTCGCCCGTGCTGCCCGTTCCAGTTTGTGCCCACCCGTGCCTCACCCGTGCTTCTCGTGTTGCCCGTGCTTTCCCGTTCAGTCTGTGCCCCACCCGTGCTATCCGTACCAGTCTATGCCCAACCCGTGCTGTCCGTGTGTGTTCCCTGTACTTGCCCCGTGCCCATGCCCATGCTTTCCGTCCGTGTCCTCGGTTGTGCCCCGCCCTTATCACCCGTGCTGTCTGTACCCGGTTGTTCCCCGCCCGTTTCACCCGTGCTGTCCGTACCCGGTTGTGCCCCACCCGTTTCACCCATGCTGTCCGTACCTAGTTGAGTTCCAAGGGGGCAGGCCGCCGTGTGAAGATCCGTGCAGAAACTACTATAAGTGGGGCAGGGGCTGGAGGAAGGAAGGAGGGGAGGGGGTGCGGTTCTAGGAGGCGGTTGATATGGGTGGTGAGGTTAAAGGGGGGTGGTTGATTGGGGGTGGGGTTGTGGGGGTTAGTAAGAGGGGACGCCGCGGCCACCCCCCCATCTCCTCTCCTCATCCCTCACTCAACCCCCCCCTTCGTAAAAGGGGGGTTAATAAGAGGGGACGTTGTGGCCAACCCCCCACCTCCTCTTATCTCCCCTCCTCTCCTCTCTCTTTATGGCCCCCTCCTCCTCACTTACCTCTCTGCCGTTTTCGACTACGCCTCCTATACCCATTCAGGGGGTGTGACTTACTCTAGCTGTGTGCTGCAGGCAATTAAGGGGGTGCGTGGCGATATATTTTTATATATGTTTATAGTTGCCTGTAGCTTTAGTTTTAGTGTAGTTATGTTACCTTGCTGTTGGTGGTGCGCCTCCTGCTTGTGTTTCTCGACTATCTCTTGTATGCTTTGCTTTTAGTGAAGCTAACTTGTTTGGTCAATCCTCTCGACCGTCCCTTGGCTTGATCCTCTCGTCACTCGCTTGGCCTAGGCTACTAAGCCTAGGCCCTTTTTAAACCCGATTAACACCTAAGACACTATTCTAACAAGGAGCCCCTGGCGCAGGTGAACTACGTCGCCCCGGCAAAGCAAGGTAGTCGACCGGGGCAGCGCGGGCTGTCTGGCAGCGGTGGTAGCAGCGGTTGGAAGCCGACCAAGGACGCCGACAAGAAGAAGTTGGCCAAGGGCAGTGGTCGAGGAGGAGGAAGTCGACGTCGGGAGTGCTGGCTGTGCGGCGACCCCGACCACCTCTACTTCGACTGCTCCGACCGTAGTGACTCCGATGACAACGATGCCAAGGGAGGCTGCGAGAGGTCTGGCAGCCGTTGTCCCCGTCGAGGAGGAAACAAGCCGCGCAAGGAGAAGCAGTCGACCTCATCAACCTTGGCGAAGGACACCGACTCCCCTACTGGTGGCAAGGGGCGAGACGACTTGGCGGCATCGTGCTCGCTAGTTGGCGTCATGGAGCCGATTGTCTCGTTGGCGCCAGAGGCTGGCGAGGACTTCCAGGCGATGGCGGCGGCTGTGCAAGCGATCCCGTCGATGGTCTTGCTTGACAGCGGCTGTTCCCACTGATGGGGACGAAGGAGTCTTCGTCGACCTGTAGCAAAGCGGCGACGTCAAGCACGTGCGCGGCTTCAATGGGGCGCTGCAGGACGTCCAAGACCGAGGCACTATCGCCCTGCAAGGGGGGGCTGGGAAGGAGGTGCTCATCCCTGACGTACTCTACGTCCCGGGTGTGCGAGCGAACTTACTTTCGGCTCGGCACCTGACGGAGAACGGCGTGAAGCTGCAGCAGGACGGCGACGGGATGCTGCTCGTCTCGGTGGCGGGAGAGGTGCTCGATCGGGTGACATTCACTGGGCGTGTCCTCTGCACCGATCTGCGTCCCTGCTCGACGAGGCTCACAACGCCCGCGACGGAGGTCGTGGCCCTACGGGCGATCGTCTCGGAGACGAAGTCGACGCCGGGCAGAATGCATGCGAGACTTGCGCACGTCTGCATGGACACCAACTGGAGCTCGGCGAAGCACGAGGTCGCCACTGGGCCATTTCTTCCAAGCTGATCTTCAGGCATAAGTACGGACCAAATGGGGAGCTGACCCGCTACAAGTCCAGGCTTGTGGATAAGGGGTTTCAGCAGACAAAGGGAGGGGACTTCAACGAGCTCTATGCTTTTGTGGGGAAAGGGACAACACTGAGGGTGATGTTGGGAACGGCTGCAAACCGCGGATGGAAGATAAAGTAGATGGATGTTACGACTTCGTTCCTCAATGAGATCATTCTGGAGGAGTTGTACATGTTAGAGCCTGAGGGGTTGGATGATGGGAGCGGCAGGGTGTGCAGGCTGAAGAAGGCCATCTATGGCCTAAAGCAGGCTCCTCGCGCATGGTACCACAAGCTGGAGGAGACATTGCTGGCTGGGGGGTTCAAGAAGAGTGAGTGCGACCATAGTTTGTTCTTGCTGCAAGAGAAGGAGCACTTCCTCATGCTCCTGATATATGTGGACGACATCCTGCTCTTCTCCGAGTCGTCTGCAATGATCAAGCGTGTGGAGGAGATGCTGGAGATGCAGTTTAAGTGTTCCAAGATGGGAGATGTGAAGTACTATTTGGGGATGCATGTGGAGGGGGATCTTGACAAGGGAGTGTTGAGGCTGCACTAGAGGAAGTACTGTGAGGGGCTGGCTGAGAAGTATGGGCTGCAAGATGGAGGAAAGCCATCCACCCAACTGCGTTTGAGGTTCACTGTGGAGCCCTGTGCTGATGAGGAGGTTGAACAAACGCAGACAGAGAATGGTGACGACTATAGAAAAGATGGGCAGTGCGGAGGTTGTCAATGTTGGTGCAACCCTACAGTTTGCACTGGGCTTGTTGTCTATGTGCGTGCATGCGTGTGTGCATGGAATGGTATGAGTGCATGAAATAAATATATATAATTCATGCTTATAATCGTGTGGCGAACGTTTAGCATGTCGCAGGTGTGCGCACCAGACCCATCAAGAACTCAAGGATGAGTTTGTGGTGAAGAACCAGAGACTTGGTGTCAAGATTCAAGTGATCGCGAAGCCCGCGAAAAGGGTACACCTCAAGATATTGAAGATGGTTATATTACTTTGTGTAGCGTAACATTTCACTTGGTGTAGGACCTAGAGAAGGGTGATTTCAAGACCTTTCGTGGTTGGGGACAGTGTGGCACTGTTCCACATCACTGTACCTCGGCTCTTGGGGTTTGTAGGAGCTGGGAGTCATTCCCAACTCGCAACTCTTCCTAACTCTTCCCAACTCTTCCTAAGTTGTGTTCTAAGACTATAGTGGCTGCTATAGCGCCGTTCGTTCAAACCGATGCTGTGTCGTTCTATCAAAATTGCCTAGTGTAGGCGACTTCAAGACGCTCTAGATCCAAGTTGAATCAGGTCATTTGAAGCTGTGACCAAAACGCTATGAACGTTTAAAGCCGCTGTGCAAAAAACCGACTATCTTTCGTTTTAGGCACATTGAAGCCTATTGTTACTATAACAGTCAAAGGGAGATGAGGGACGAGCACACAGGGGATAGGGATGGATGGGAGTGCAAGAGAATGAGAGGAGGAGATGGGGACCGAGGAGGAGAGTAAACAACAGGTGACGGGTCTGGAGGAGGAAACGTAGGACTGAAGGCAAGGGGAGACTATGAGTGGACACGAGTAGAAGAGGGAAGACCAAAAGCCTAAATGTCACTCACGGGTGGGAATAATTGCTGCAAAAGGGGTGGCTGCTACGGCTGCTGCTCCTACTGCGGGCTCGTCAGGAAAGAGTCCAGTGAGTGTGTGGTCAACAGAAAGAGGTGTGCGCTGTACTGCGGAGTGCTGAAGCTTGAACCGCTGAAGGACCTGCTGCACCATGTGCGACTGTGAGACTGTAATGGTGTGAACGGCTTTGTCCCTCGTGATCTGCAGGCCAAGGTTGTGGCGCAGCTTACGAAGGTCAGTGCACGTGTGTCTCTTCTGCACGCTTTACGTCAGCCAAAGCAACCCTGTCAGCAGTGACGAAAACCAGGTCGTTGACGTAGACCAGTACAAAGAACGGTGTAAAGCCACGACGAACAAACAGCGACGGGTCGGCAGAAGACGGCTGGAAACCAAGGTCAGACTGGGTAGAACGAAGGGTGTCGTGCCACTCACGAGGAGCCTGACAGAGACCGTAGACCGGTCGCCTCAGCCTTCACTGGGTCCTAGGAGGGAAAGTGTCAGTGAAGGCAGAGGGACGACGCAACCAGACCTCCTTGTGTAGGCTACCCTGAGGAAAGGCAATAAAGAACTCGAGAGAGTGTAGCTCGTAGTCTCTCTGTGCTGCTACGTGTAGTAACACCTAAAGAGTGCTCATCTTCCGGGTAGGCGCAAAGGTTTGAAAGAAGTTAACTCCCTCGCGCCCACTGAAACCTCTAGCCACATAGCGCGCCTAGAAGACTGGAGGAGATCCCGGTGGTCGCTTCACCCTGAAGATCCACATGTCATCGACTACCTTCGCCCCAGGGGGGGGGGAACCTCGTCGACGTAGGTGCCTGTAGATCTGTAGGAGGCCATCTCTGAGTCCATGGCAGCTTTCCACTGAGAGGCCCAAGGCCCTAATACTGCCTCAGCGTAAGTGCGAGGAGTAGGTATGTCAAGGGCGTCGGGGTCTCCCTCAGGGGCGAGCTGCATAGCACAGAGATGAGGGGAAGTGGCTACCAGGAGCTCCAGCTCAAACTGCCTGTCCTCTAGGGCGTCACAGCCAGGGGCAGACTCACCCCCAACGGCCAGAGGACTGGTAAGAGGAGCAGCCACGAGACAAGTGGCGTAGTCAAGGCGACGAGTAGTGGCGAACTCAGTGACGGCGGCAGTAAGGGCGGAGACAGAGGATAGAGAGGCACGAGGGTCTGTAAAAAGAGAGGCGAGAACACGAGAGAGCATGCCGGTACGTGCGGTGTGACTCAGGAGGAGAAGGAAGCACAGACGGGGACAAACGAGGCGGACTAGGACGGAACAGGACAGTACAAAGGTCATTGAGAGGGACAGGGGACGAGGGACGAGCACAGGAGAACGAGAAGTCCAAGAGTGAGAAAGAGGAAGGGATAACGGAGGCTGAGAATGGGGGAAAATAGCTAGGGTGGGGTCAAGAGGAGGAAACGTGGGGCCGTAGATAGGAGGAGAGGGAGAGAGGAGACCAAGGGCCCGAAGGCCAGAGACAGGAGGTGGAGGTGGCGGCTGATGTTGCTGCTGCGGCGGCTGCTCCTACTGCTCTTGCTGCGGCGGCTGCGCCTCCTCCAGCTACGGCTCTTGCTGCTCAAATTGCTCCTGCAGCTGCGGCTGCTGCGCCTGGCGCTGTAGCTCCAACTGCTACCGCTCCAACTCTTGCCCCTCCCGCTCCAACTCCAGCTGCTCCTCACGCGCAAGATGAAGACGGGCCTGGTGCCAGGTCGGGTAGGGGTGGGGGGGAGGAGCAGTGTC